TCGGTCAAGCATCGATTCTACCCTCTGCAGTCATTCCTCCAACCGGTTCAATTTCGCAAGCGTGGATGAAATTAAATCGAAATAGGTACATATATACACGCGCACCTTTTTTTCCCGAGTGTACAGGTGCAGCGCTCGGCCCCCTCCTCCCACAGCAAAATGCGCTTGTGATGATAATTACACGACGGGCGCGCGAAACCCTTAAGCGCCATTAATTGGGGGCTCATGAGTAAATAATTGTTTATCGATGAAACAAAAACTCTCGATCGCAGGTGTTACGTGCAGGGACCGAGGGGTGTTGTATATCGCACCACCTCTCACCGTATCTCATTTTTTCACTTTACACACTCCGTGGAGCAACCTTACATTAGGTAAGTGGATCTATCAATTTTTACCATTCGTACGATTTTTTTTTTTCCTTTTTTCAACCGATCCAAGGGTACGCGATCGGTAATGCGCACCTATCGCTCTCCGTAACCATTAAACCGTAAAGTACACTCGACTCGGGTGAGAAATAAATATTAAAGGTATTATTTACGATCCAAGCTCCGTAAAGGCAGGGAGCCATTTTTTTCTTCTTCTGTACACCCATAACAGCTGATTGTGACGTGTCGAAAGGGAGCGCGGAAGATACGAGAATATCGCTCGCTGGAAGCATGCCGAAGCAACAAAAGGACGCGTGGAAGGGAAAAAATGGCACTCCACGTTGTTCGAAAACTTTTGGCGTCTGTAAGGTTCGCGAGAGTTATAATTGCTTCGCCGTCGAATGCTCCGATACATAGTATATCATTGTCGCAACATTCCTCGTCCGAACAATACTTATAACGCGACATCTCATTGTCCGCGTATACCATGTCGTATTCCTCGAAAAGCGCAACGAGATCCCTAATGTCGCTCTGAAAACACGCATTCCACCATCTCTCGTCCGTATGTTTGTTTGTTTGTTTTTTCTTGTATGTTGTGAGTATACGAGCTCGCACCCGGATGCATAGCAGCAGGTATACGTGTGTGCGGGTCGAGGGGATCGAGTGGCGCGCGAGCGCATTGAATTTTATCGCAGCCGTATAACGTCGCCTCTTCCCGTGAAGGAGGAAAGAAAAACAAAAAAAGAAAATAGATGAAAGCTCGTAACGGTTATGAAGTCCAGGGTAGCGAAAGGGTGATTTTTTTTTTTTTTTTGTCCAGCTCCATTATCGGGTAAACGCGCCATTGAGAGGGAGAGCGTCGGTAGCCTCGCGGGTAATAACGTGCGAACGCGCTATCCATCAGCGGAACTGTTGTAGACGACGGCGAACCTTGGAAGATATGCAGGTCGTGATGGTCAAGTTGCACCGACTATTAGGTACACGTACAGCCCTGGTTTGGCGCGAAATGGCACATAAAGGCACGTGTAAAGTAACACGGTGTGTTTTATTTATTTTTTTTTTTTTCTTTGTTTAATATCTTTGACATTGGAAGGGAGATTACACCGAATGAGGTATAAAGGTAGGGCACCGATATCAAGTGCGCGGGTAATTTTGCAGAACAGAGCTCGTTGGGTCGCTTTTTTTTGCCCTCTATTCTTAACAACGATTGTCCAAGTCGAGTGTCTCGGTGACTTTTATACAGGGACAGAATCGTTCAATAAATTCCAATGTAATCGTACAAATATTTGCGTCATCAAGACGTATATTTATACATCCAAAAAACCCGTTCTTCCACGAATATTTTAGAAAAAAAAAAAAAGAAAAAAAAAACTAAAAATCTCCATCTTTGTACTCTCACCTTCCTGGAAGCGCGTCGCGCTCTCGGCTCATCACCCGCGCCGCGAGTTTATTAACAAGCTCATCAGAGCCCCCTTTTCTAAAAGGAGAAAAAAAAAAAAAACAACGCGGTCCTCGCATCTCGTCCGTCAACCCGCACAATTAACCAGGAGCCAGCGCTGCTTCAAAAACTCTCAACGACTCCGTGCGTACGTACGTGCAATCTCTCTCTCTCTCTGGGCGCGCAGTAGGAGCTACACCACCTCCTATCCGCGTGTCGTCTAATTAAATTCTCAGGGGCAGGATTAGGTGCGCGCGCGCGGCGTACAGCACGTTTCACACGAGTTTCAAGCTCCTTTTCCCCCGCGTGACACGCCTCGTGACAACACACGTTCGCCTGATGGACGCGGCTTATCCTCGCTTACCATCTTCACGGGGCTCTCTGTATATATATGCCATTGTTGCCCCGTTGTTGTCTAGACACGCGTGTATGTATACACGGTAAAAAGCCTCGCGCTCGTTCGGAGTATAATTAGCCCCGTACGGGCTTGCTAATTAAAAAGCAGAAAAAAAAAAGGGAGCCAGGGTAATTTAATAACCAAACGAAGGGGGGGGGGGGAAAACGATTAGGAGGCAAACGATGGGGAAATCGGTGCATCGGTAGAGCCCACACAGAGGCGCTTCGGAGCCACCACCCACGGCGCCGCCGAGAAAATAATCCGCGGAGTGGAGACGCTTAGATACCATCTGCGGCTCAACCAAGTCCAAGGGGAGGGGGGAAAAAAAGAGAGCAGAGGTGTCGGAGATGCGCGTTCTCACGTGCGGAGCCGAGCAAGAAGAGATGGCCCGCGCGAAGCGGCCCGCGATATCATTAAGGAGGATTTATGTCGCGGGGGGACATACTCGCACGTGAAAGAGACTGAGGTGTGTAGGAGCGTGGAAAAGAGGCTGGCCAACTTTCTTTCGCCATCCGATGTGCTGGGCTTTTCGAGGAAATTATGTGCCCAGAGGAGGCGTGTACGCGCGAGAGCAGCAGAGGGTCGCCTCCTCAAGGAGAGTTCGGAGGTCGGTTCGGGTTGTAATGAAGTAACGGGCCTTTTTTTTTTTCTTTTTTTTTGTACGTTGGGTATATTATACTTTCGCGGCGCGGCTCTTCGCTCATTCTCTCGTTGCGGCCGCTGCACGGGGGGGGGGGGCTTGTAATGGTGAGAAGAAACGACGAGATTGACGCTGCGCAGGTGTGTGTGTGTAGGTGCACCTTCTCTCCGCAGTCATCGTAATTTTTTTCTCTGGTTTTCCGTCCATCGCCGCTTTTGGAGATGCGGTACGCTGATGCCTCGAGTTTGCTTTTGCGTGGAATTTAATATCTCCTCTTGTGTGTAGCACACGTATACACACGCAAACTCGCCGAACCAAACCTATGAGGACAAATAAAAGCAGAGGGAGATAAACAGATCGCACATAGAAATGCATCCTTCGTCTCTATTATCTTATCTCGGCGGCGCTCGCGATCCAACCGGTAGCCACGAGCTGCATAATGTATGCACCTGCTCGGAGAGTCTAAACTGGATGGCGCGGAAAAATCGTTTCAGAAATGGCTTTACCGTTATTACACGCGCTTTAACGTTACGATATTAAATGAGCTTGTGGTATATATCGCGTTTTTACCGATCATTCGTCTGGTTTGTGTGTATTACGCGTGACTTTGGTGGTTGGTACAGAGACGTATTGGCTAATCCGCGATCAACCAAACTACAGCCTACTTCATTTTGGGGGGGAAACCGTAAAATGCAAATACTCGATTACACTCTTTGAATGTATTGGCAGAATAGGCCGATAGATAAGAGGCAGCTGGAAATAACTCACTGTAATTGCCACGAGGGGAGAATCCATTTGTTCGATGTAAATATCTGCTAATTAATACAATTTTTCCGCTGATTTAAGTGCCGTTTCGAGTTACGGAAGTTTTCTCATGTGCGCGTGTAATGTTATTTGCACAAGCCACGCGCTCTCGGGTTTCAGCGAAAATTCATACGCGAGTAATCACGTATGAACGTGCCTACACCCAATAACCAATAATCGAAGGTACCTGCAACCCGTACGATGTGAATAAATTTGTTTGGCACAGCTAGTGTGTACCCGCGTCGTTTTTTTTACAGGATATACGAGTTCTGGAACGTCCGGAAATAGGATTTGGTTTTTTTTTTTTATCCTTTCCAATTTCAAAGTTACATCGGAAGGTTAATGCTTGTACGTTTCACCTGCTCCCATATAGGTACACACGGACAGCCGCATTGCTGTTAGTTCAAGGACGGGACTTGTATGTACTTAAAATTTTCGCACTGTCCATTAGACTCGTGAGATCTATCACCACAGCAGAGTACCCGAACAACCAACAGGTGTAAGCCGTAACGCATCATAACTCGAATTGCAAATGATTATTTCATACCCATGTAGTTGATAAAAAGCTCCTCGTTTGTCCCACAAAATAATACAATGCACACCTGACCCCCTTCGACCGCAACGAAACAAAACAACGCAACGCGACACAACCCCCCATATAATATAACGCACAGGGACGCACTCGACGTCAAATCTCGCACCTGCGCGTTCACATTCTGCCGTCTCACCCATCCTCCGCAGCTCCCTCGAAAACTCCACCGCGCGAAAGCGAACAATCACGCTCGGTTCCTTTTACGCCTCCCCTCCCTCCTCGGGCGCTCTCGTTGATCATTAAATTTAATAATTTCCTTCGGTATCGAGTGGGACGTACACACGTCAGCAGGAAGAGACCCCCCCCCCGGGGGGGAGGATAAGTCACTCTTTGCTCGTGAGCCGTTACATATAGCGTATAGGGAGCCGATGCATCAGCGACGCGGGATGAATCGCTCGCCAGAGAGGATTTTAATTTTAATGGACGCATCGGCGACGGGAACTCCTGGCTGGCCTTCCTCTCACAGGGACGATTTCGCAGCTCCTTTTATCACCGATGGTCACGTACCAGCTAACGAGGCTAAACCGAGGTGGAGGCGTACACTGATTGGTTCATCACAAGACAAACACGGTCGTGCGCGTTAAAATGACAATTTGCAATTTATTCGAGGGGACGTAAGTACATACGAGACGGGGGGTGGTGGTGGTGGTGGTGGTGGGGAGGATGGGGGATATTTTTTGACACAGGACACACATACACATTTGACAAAAGTTCATCGGAAGAAGATGAGAGCGATCAAGCCGGCCAGACAGTGGAGGACGAGCCTAGTCCTCGTCCTTATCGTCATCGTCATCCTCGTCCGAGAATCCAGCCTCGCTCTGGCTCCTGGACCTAGGTTTGCTCGAGCCCCTGCGGCTGTTGCTCCGACTCCTGGGGCTGCCCTCCTGCCCGTCGTCCTCGACGTTCCGCTTGTCCGCCTCGGTGTTGCTCGCGCTCATGTCGTCGTCCTCGAGGTTGGCCGGCGAGTTCTCCCGCACCATTTGTATCGGCCGGCTGCAGTCCTTGCGGCCCCGCGTCGCGCACACGTTGCACGGGTTGCGCTTCCTCTTCTTGCGCGGGCACGACGGACGCTTGCGCCGCTTGCACGACCGCTTCTTCTTCTTTGGCTTGCAACCCCGGCGCTTTGGCTTCTTGGGACAACCGCCTGGAGATTGGTTTTTTTTTTTTTTTTTTTTTTTTTTTTACTTTTTTAGGTTAAGAATTTGTTTACCATACTTTTTTTTGGAGGGTAAAAACGACTCACCGCAAGCGTCCATTTGCGCGAGGTCGATCGGCCCGATGACCTCCGCGTCCGTGTTGAGGCTGTAGCCCGCGTTCGTCTTCTTGAGGATGCCGTACTCGACGCCGCGTTTCAGGGCCGTTTTCAGCTACGAAAATTATCATTTCTCGTCTCATCTTCGAAAAAAAAAGGGCACCAAACAAGCGTGTAGAACCAACCTGGCGCTGGACCGTAGACTCGGAAGCGTTGTACTCGGCCATGATGTACTTCATGATCTCCTTGGGCGAGGAGCCGTGGGCGTCGCGGAGGTTGCGCAGAGCAGCGACCACCAGCCCGGAGATCTTGGGCGTGCCCCGTTTCGTCTTCATCCTGAAACTCGGTGCTGCTGGCGTCACCTCAAATTAGCATTGGCGGTTTTCCACGGGAGGGCTTGATATTTTCTTGTTGTTTTACGAATTAAAAAATCTGTTGCGGGTTGAAAGGGGGGTGAGGGTTCACGATCGAGGATTTTGACGGGACTGGCGTCTTGACCCACCGCCGGAGCTCGACAAACTATCCCTCGTTGCCATAGGCCACCGACTGTCAATTTTTTTTCTTCCTATTCGCGTTTACACGCGTCGTCATGGCAAATTTTGCGTATATTGTATCTTTTTTTTTTTTTTTTTTTTTTTTTTTTTTTTTTTTTTTTTTTTTTTTTTTTTTTTTT